CAGCTGATAGACGAGTCACCGAGCACGTTTGTGGACGCGGCGACGCGCAAGGCGCTGGTGGAGCAGTCGGTGGCGCTGGCGCGCTCCATCAACTACGACACCACCGGTGCGTGCCCGCCCGCACCCCTGTACTCAAAGAATAGTGCGATGAATCCGTGTAGGTGTGCATATGTGAGGGCTGCGTGGGCGGAAGCACGTGCAAACGAGGGCATGAGTGCATGTACCGGATCATGCTGCATATAGCTTATGATGGGAATTTCCTCATACGCGTGCATTGGTTTTTTTTTGTGTGAGTGTGAGTGTGAGTGTGAGTGTGTGTGTGTGTGTGTGTGTGTGGGTGTGTGTGTGTGTGTGTGTGTGTGTGTGTGTGCGTCGTATGTGTGCCTGGCAGGCACGGTGGAGTTTCTGTTGAGTCAGAGCAAGGACATCTATTTCCGGGGCATGAGCACTCGCCTGCACGTGAGTCTGCCATGCCTCTCCCCCTCACCACGCTTCGTCTCCCTTCAACCACTGTCATGCACTCACACGAAAAAGGCCTCGCAAATCACCAAGAATGTGTTGCGCACACATGAAGCACACAGCTGAGCCCCCACAGCAGTAAGCGGGAACCAGAAAATGGCTTGAGTGATGCAAACTCAAGCACCCATTCTCCCCCCTCCAACCCCCTCCTCCCCGTGTCACCTGCCCTCCTTTCGCCCGTATCGCCCCCTCGCCCGTATCGCCCCCTACCCTCGTGCCAGGCAGGCGGGGCACGTGGCATCGGAGTGTGTGACGGGGGTGGACATAGTGCAGCTCATGCGAAGAGCAGCAGCGGGGCACTCTTGAGTCGGCTCACAAGTCTGCCTTCCCACCCACTCCCAACCCCTTTTCCCCCATCCCGTCCTGCTGCACATACAGGCGGGGCACGTGGCATCGGAGTGTGTGACAGGAGTGGACATAGTGGAGCTCATGCTCAGGGCAGCAGCGGGGCAGAAGCTCGCCGTGCCACAGGACCGCATTGCCGAGCCCAAGGGCTGGGCCATTGGCGCGCGCATCTACAGCGACAACCCACGCAAGAACTTCCTCCCGTACGCCTGACCCTGCTCACTCTGCTGTGCCTTGCCTGCTGCTCTTGTGCCCATGCCGCATGCTGCATCATGTGCTCCCACCCCCTCATAGCGCTGCCCCTGCTTGCCAGTTCGCCGCAGCTCTCTCAACCCATTGCTGTGCATTCCATTAGACTATTTCTCTCCTCATTCCATGCTGCCTGCCTGCTGCCATCTCTGGCCGTTGATGCAGGTCGAGTGGCAAGATCCTACGGTACATAGAGCCCGCCATGCAGTGCTCAAACGAGGGCATTCTGCGCATCGACTCGGGTGTGTCTGAGGGTGACGTCATCAACTTCTACTACCACCCGCTCATGTCCAAGGTACCTTCAACTGCCACCCCTTGGCACCCAAACTCCTTGCAACTACCATCTCCTCCCATCCACTCTCTCGGCTACTACCACCCTCCATCGCATCGCATGCAATCATGCCTTCACCACACACACACCATAACGCATATTCAGAGGCGAATGCTGCTCTTCCTTGGGTGACCTGTGCTGCTGTGCTGCTCTTCCCTGTGCTGTGCGGCTGTGTGGCATGGCAGGTGACCACGTGGGCGCTCACACGAGATGCCGCCATTGACAAGATGGAGGTCAGTGCCCCGTCATGCCTTGCCCCGTGGTTTCACCCCTTGCCCTGCTTTGCTTTGCCGTGCCATTCCGCCCTCTTTCCCTGCCTTTTTTCTTACCCGCTGCTTCCTTTCCCACTTCTTTTGACCCAGTCAATCCATTAGTTGCCTCTCCCCTTCCTCCACCATAGCTGTACACTCACCCCTTGCCACTCCGCCCCACCCCACCCCACTCCACCGCATCCCACCCATGGCAGTACGCCCTGGATCGGTACTACATTGAGGGCATAGAGAGCAACATCCCCTTCCTGCGCTGCATCGTCTCCCACCCGGTCAGCCCCCGCGCTGCACTCCTCTCCCTGCCTGCCTTGCATGCTGCCTTCCCTTGCCTGTCTTGCCCAGCCCTGCCTTGCACGCTGCCCTTCACCACACGGCACGCCAGCACCGCACAGCTGTGCCCTGGGGTACAGGCATGCTCACCTCCACACCGTAGGCCTGTGTTGCTCTCGCTCCCGCCTCCACCCTTCTCTTTGCTGCAGATTCTGCACCCAGCTCTTTGCACAATTCAGCTTCCGCTACCCACTCTTCCTCACCCTTCCTCACCTTTCCCCACTGTCTTACCCCAGGCATTCGCGTCGGGCAACATAACGACCAACTTCATTCAGGACAACTTCCCTGCTGGCTTCTATAACGACCACCTCTCGCCCCGTGAAGAGGTGCGCCCTTCCCATGCCACACCATGCCATGCCATGCCTGCGTGGACGTTAGTGGATCTGCCAGTCTCACACCCACGTTTCCTCATCACCATCTGCCGCATCATCCTCAAATCGCGCACTCACCACCTCTCCTTATCCTTGCTTTGCCATCTCAACCCCTCTCCTATCCACCTTCCCCCCACCTCCCCTCCCCACTCCCACTACCACCCCCTCCCTCCCCCCCCACTTCCTCCCCCCATTCAGAGCGAGCTGGCGGGCATATCAGCCTTCCTGCACGTGATCAAGGGCGTGCGCGCCTCTGCCACCGTCACCTCCGACCGCCCGGCAGCAGACGCCACGGCGGCAGCAGCGGCGGCAACGCTGTCACAGAAGGCGGTGACGGAGAAGCTGGTGGTGTCCGTGGATGGGAAACAGGTGCCCGTCACGCTCACGCACTGGCCCTCCGACAAGCACCCTGTGCTGCGCCGCGCCGTGAGTGCTGCCTTCTTTCTCTCGCCCCTTGCCTATAAGTGCTGTTCTCCTCCTTCGCCCGTCTCCCCTCCATGGCTGCCTGTGATTTCCACTCAGGTTGAATCAGGGTTGGAGTAGCTGCATGTGAGTCGGGGTTGAGGTTCGAGGTCGCCCGTGTGCTTGTAGTGCTGCTTGCATGTGCATTCAGCAGCTCGTGTGTGGGTTGTAAAATTCCAAGTCATTCCTTATCATCCTGCACTAACAGTCGTTGTTCCTGCTTTTGCCTGTGGTGGGGCGCATGGGGTGTGGGTGGGGGGCGCATGGGGTGTGTTGGGGCAACAATCTGCTGTTCCTGAATGTGTCTGTGGTGGATCGCATGGGGGGTTCGCAGAAGGTGGACGTGGGTGGGGAGGTGATGGAGGTGGAGGAGCGCGACCCCATCCTCAGTGGCAAGGGGCTCATCCACGTCAGCCTGGACGGCAAGGACGCCAGCGTGTGCATCCGTGAGGAGCTGCCACGTGGCTTCTCCATGCTCTACCACGGCTGCATCAAGGTACGATGCTGCTCCTTTTTGCCCACCCTCACCACTCCCTGCTTCGAGCGTCTCTTGGATAACTGTCGCCTCCCTTCCTACACCCATTCCCTTTGTCCCCCTCCCGCACACTCTACCTTTCCTCCCTTCCTCCATCCCTCACACCCTCCCTTCACGCCTGTCTATGCGTCCCTCTCCGCTCCCCTGGGTGTCGCACACATCAGGACGAGGTGTTGGTGCAGAGGGCGGACATAGCACCGCTGCAGAAGTTCATGCCCAAGAAGAAGACCGAGGACGTCGCACATGTGAGCCCTCCTCTCCACACCCCACACCCCCCTCCCCACACCCCCCTCCCCACACCCCCCTCCCCACACCCCCCTCCCCACACCCCCCTCCCCACACCCCCCTCCCCACACCCCCCTCCCCACACCCCCCTCCCCACACCCCCCTCCCCACATACCACACCCCCCTCCCCACATACCACACCCCCCTCCCCACATACCACACCCCCCTCCCCACTGCCCTCTGCTGCCTCTCACTCCCTCCCTCCTTGCCTGCTTGCATCAACAGTCCACCTGCCTCCACGCTTTGATTTCCTCACTCGTCACTCTGGACCGACTCTAATCCTCATCCTTGTGTTGCCCGTGACGTGTCTGCAGCTCATCCGCACGCCCATGCCGGGCTCGGTGGTCAAGATCTCCGTGCGCTACAAGCAGAAGGTAAGCAACGAAACCCCCTTGCTCTTCCAGCCCATGACAGCCTTTCAACGCTCACCATCCATCACATGCACACACACTCTTGTGACCGTACCCCACCCACTGTGACCACACCCCTCTCACTGCCCCTCTAATCCCTTGTGTGCGCTGCGGCTTGTCCGTGCACTGCACTGCACTGCACTGCACTGCACTGCACTGCACTGCACTGCACTGCATTGCACTGCACTGCACTGCACTGCATTGCACATCACAATGTGTGGCAGGTGCTACCCGGGGACGAGCTGGTGACAATAGAGGCGATGAAGATGCAGAACGTGATTCGCGCGGAGGAGGCGGGTGTGATCCGAGGCATATATGTGAAGGAGGGGCAGACCGTCAAGGTCGGCGAGATGCTCCTCGACCTCGACGTCTAGCCCTGCCCTGCCCTGCCCTGCACCACACCACAGAATGCCCGACAACCCGCCACAGCCTCAAGGCTCATTGCCATGTCTATTTCAAAACAACGCCTATAAAGTACAGCTAATACCTATTACAGTTGTTTCCCGACAATTTTAACTTGCTCAGGCAGGAAGAGCACTCACGATTCTGATCAGCTGCTTTACTGGTGGACCTTGTCTCTCGTGCCTGCACTGTGCCAACCACGCTAATGCATAACAACTATCTGCCTACACTAATCTCATGAATCCTCCCTTGGGACCATGAGACAAACTAACTGGGAAGCAGGATGACAGCAGAGAGGCAACCTTCTACAGCAAATGAGTGCAGCAACACACAGATCCACCATCTAGCACCGTGCCATGCCACACGGCCTCCCCCTCCATGCTCACGCCCTGACGTCCCTCGATCCTTGCCTTGGGTGTGCCTCACACAGCTATTCCTTGCATCCAGCCACACATCCGAGAGTGCAGGCAGTGGTGGGAGGGAGCGGGGGCGCTAGTGGCGGAAGTGGCGCACGTTGGTGAAGACCATGGCGACACCATACTTGTCACAGCAGTCGATGGCGTCCTGGTCCCGCACACTGCCGCCCGGCTGGATTATCACCGCCACCCCCGCCTCACACGCCGCCTCCACTGCATCTCCCCATGCTGGTGGATGGGGGACGGCGCGGGGGAGTGATGGCAGAAACGGAAGGGGAGAGGCAAGGCATGTGAGGGGGAGTGTGCATATGATGCAAAACGATTGCTTTGGGAAAACAAGGACGAGAAGAAGAAAGTCGGGCAGGCAGTGATCTCTATCTCCTCAGCAGGCGAGGCAGCACTGACCGAAGGGGAAGAAGGCATCGCTGGCGACAGCAGCACCCTTGGCCTCCTCGCCTGCCTTCTCCAGCGCGATCTGCCCACTCTTCACCCGGTTCGGCTGCCCGCTCCCCATGCCCAACAGCCGCCCGTCCTGCAAGGCAAGGAAGACACGAGGAAGGAGCACGGCAGGGAAGGATGTCAAGAGCGCTCCTAAATCAGCATGGAAGAAGCTGCTGAGAGGGTGGAGAGAGGAATGTGTCGTAGGGCGAGGGATGGAAGTGAGGTCAAGGGGCGAGGGCAGGGGACGCAGGCAAGAGGCAAGCGAGGGGTACCTTGGCGATGGTGATGGCGTTGCTCTTCACATGCTTCACCACCCTCCATGCAAACCGTGCGTTCTCAAGGTCAGCTTCACTGGGCTGCTTCTTAGTCACCACAGTGAGCGTGAGGTCATCAGCATCCACGTCATCAGAGTCCTGCAGCAGCCACCCGCCCCCCACCTGCCGCAGCGACCGCCTGCCCTTGCTGCTTGCCTGCGCTTCCAGGATGCGCAGCGCCTTGCTCTTCCCCTTGAGCACCGCCAGCCCTTCCTCTGTGTACCCCGGCGCCACCACGATCTCGTAGAACATGCGCGTCTCGCCGTCTGTGGGGGATCGGAACTCCCTCAGCTCGCGTGCGAGCGCGGCGGTTACTGGGCGGTTGAACGCCACTATGCCGCCAAATGCGCTCACGGGGTCGGCACGCACGGCGGCACGGTAGGCCTCGAGGAGGGCTGCTTCTTGCTCTTCAGGGGAGGCGGAGGGGGGGAGCGTGACGGTGGCGGCGCCGCAGGGGTTGGTGTGCTTGACGACGACGCAGGCCGCGGTGGGCATCTCCCACACGCACTGCCAGGCCGCATCCGCGTCCAGATAGTTGTTGTATGACATCTCCTGTGGGGGGGAGAGAAGGTGAAGGGGGTGTTTGGGGTGAGGGTGGAGTGAGAGAGGATGGATGGGTAGTGAAGGGCAGCAGGGAATGCTGCATTGAGTTGCGTGTGTGTGACAGATGCAGGTCGAATTCGTCTAACATGACACCTACTCTCTACAGTTCACCTTCCACCCCCATGCCTTCCTGCGCATTTCCACACAGCGCCAACCAACCTCCCCTCTCCCACCTTCCCCCTGCCTTCCCCCCACCTTGCCGTGGTGCTGCACAGCACTGCCAATCCCCCCCTTGCCGCGCTCCCCCAGCGAGTCATCGGCGTAGAAGGCGGCCCGCTGGTGGGGGTTCTCGCCGTACCGCAGCACTGCGGACAACGTCAGCGGCACGGCCAGGGCTGGTGGCGGGGCGAACTCTGCAGCAGACACGGGGGGTGGGGAGGTGGGGTGGATGCACAAGGGAGTGGGGAGAGGAGCATACAAGGCGGCGCGCTGGGAGTGAGCGAGCGTTTGTGCCCATGCCCATGTCCCACGCACCGTCAGTCTTGGGCTGGGCGTGCGGCCACAGCCACTCGGATACGGCAGCATCGTACGACGCCGTGTGTTGAAACGCCTTCCACGCCAGCCGCCTCCTCAACGCCTCCTCGCTCTCCCCCTCCCCCTCGGCCTTGTCCCCCTTGAGCGCGGCCAGCAGCGAGGAGTAGTCAGCCGGGTCCACCACCACCCACACATTCTCGTGATTCTGATAGTGGGGTGGGGGGTGCGAAGACGAGAGCAAGGGCAGATGGAGAGTAAACGAGTGCGTTACACGTCAGCAGCGAGGCATGGTCAGCCGGGTCCACGACCACCCACACATTCTCATGGTTCTGATGGTGCAGGGCATGAGGGCGAGCCGAGGGCATGGGAAGAGAGCAGCTGGGAGAACCCCAAGTGAGTGAGCCAACATACATTGCTGCTTTCCAACAACACTGCCCCCCCAACATCCCTTTCCCTTTGCCTTTTCCTCAACACTGCCCCCCCCACCCCTTCCTTCCCTCCTCCCACCATTCGCCCCAAACCCCGTGCTTTTCATGCTGCCCCATACCCCCCCAATCCTCCTCCCCCACCCTTCTCCCCCCTCTCTCCCACCTTAGCAGCGGCGCGGATCATGGTGGGCCCACCGATGTCGATGCTCTCAATGCCCTTCTCTTCTACAACGACGCCCCTCCCTTTGACGCGCCTCAGAACACGCTGTCCCATACCCCCACCCCCCCACTCCAACCCCTTCCCCCACCTTGGCAGCGGCGCGGATCATGGTTTGCCCGCCAATGTCGATGTTCTCAATGCCCTTCTCCAGCACTTACCCCCCCTCCCTCTCTCCCTCCCCCAGACCCCCCCTGGTTTTAATGCTGCCCCTTCCCCCACCTTAGCAGCAGCGCGGATCATGGTGGGGCCGCCGATGTCAATGTTCTCAATGCCCCTCTCGAACGACGCCCCGCCCTCCGCTGTCACCGTCGCCACAAACGGGTACAGATTGACCGCCACCACGTCAATGGGACCTGGTGGGGGAGAGGAAGGTAGAGAGAGGGGGAGAGGATGGGGAGAGGGGCACTTGGAATGTGCGGCACAAAGGGATACAGATTCACTGCCACCACGTCTATAGGGACTGGCGGAGGGAGAGAGGGAAAGCTAACGTCACTTGAAAGAAGTCTCAGAGGCGACACGAGCATAGACGGGCACACGGTGGGGAGGGGGGAGGGGGAGGGGAAGCGCACCGATGAAGTGAGCAGCGAGGGCGTGTATGTGGTCAGGCTTGACGCGGCATGGCATGGTGCGAGAATGCGGTCAGGGCAGGCAGAGGGCTAGGGGGGCAAGAGGTGAGGGGGTTGGTGAAGGCTCACCGATGTTGTGAGCAGCAAGGGCGTCCATGTGGGCGGGCAGGGCGCGCCGAGCCAGAATGCCCCCATGCACTGCCGGGTGCAGCGTCTTCACCCGCCCGTCCAGCTGGCAGCAGGAGACACGTGGCGCACAGACAGCGAGAGGGAGGGCGACAGCAGAGGGCGGACAGAAAGACAGAAGAAAAAAATGGAAGGGAATTTAGTGGTGTATGGGAGTGAGCGGTGGGTAACGGGGGTACGGGGTGTGGGAGAGGGGAGTGGTGAAGTGGGTCGAGCAAGCACCAGCGCGGGAGGCGAGTGGAGGCGGGGGAAGGAAGGAAAGATGTCGTGCAAATGTCCGCAAGGCCCACTTTTTAATTGAACCATCCTTCACGGGAGTGCCATATTTGGCATGCTTACCATTTCGGGAAAGTTGGTGATCTGATCCACGGTCGTGACGGGCAGCCCCGCCTCCTCGATGGCTTTCGCCGTGCCGCCCGTCGACACCAGCGTGAAGCTGCCAGGAAGTGTCGCAGCCATTGGAAAAGAAAGGGGTTGGGAGAGGGGGGAGAGGGAGAGGGGGGATGCGGAAGACAACAGGAAGGAGAGCGAACGAATGGTGAGGTGGATGGGAGCGGATGGTTCATGAGTGGAGGGGGGCGTGGAAGCGAAAGCGAATGTGCGCGAATTTGCATGTGTGTTCGCGATAAGCCCTGAACCTCGCTGCATCAAGAGGCGGTGCCGCCCTGCCCCGCGCGTACCCGAGATCCAGCAGCCCCTTGGCGAGCGTATCGAGTCCCGTCTTATCGGAGACAGAAATGAGAGCGCGCTTCTCGCCTGCAGGGGAGGGAGCAGACGCAAAGGCGGAAGGTGATGAGTTGGCGGCGCGGGAGGCGCGGAATGATCACGAGAGATGTCGATCGCGAGAGATCGTGCGAAAGGCGATCGCTTTCAGCCGTAATGCGCGGTGGAGTGGCGATGGCGACAGCACGTGCGAGTCGAACGGGTGCGCAGCGCAGCAGAAGGACATTAGCTTGCGAATGTAACAATGCGTTTCCGTGCGACCACGAGCAAGAGCACTACGCGGGCTCACTTTGACTCGCCATAACGCGTACAGCCCGACGGCCGCGCGAAGGACGGTGTTGTCGCGGTGCCGCGAGAGCAGGGACGGGCAGAGAAGCAGTTCGGCGAGACGCGGCGAGGGAGGAGAGGGCGGCGAGGGCCGCGGGGTGCACGGATGGTGCGGAGGACGCAAGCGATGCGAGCGCGGATTGACGAGAGGAGCAGGAGAGGCGCAAGGAAGAGGTGGCGACGCTGCAATTGGCGGAAGCCATGGCCGGGCGTCTGTTGCAGCTGATAATACAAGGTGAATGCGAAATGGTCAGAATGTGATCGATGGGCGATAAAAACTGGCGGGAAAGGGGGAGTATTGCTGGGAAAAGATGAAATCAACGGAGTGAAACTGTGCTTTGCAATCTTTATTATAACACAACTATATAATGAAACCAATAAGGCTGTCAAGGCCGCTTATACATTTAACCCTTCACACAGCAAATATGGACACCGCAACTAAAGTGATTCCATCGAGGAGCCTATGACGGCGCAGATAGTTTCTCAAGGTGTGTAAAGAGTTGCCGGTAGCCGTTGGGCGACTCTACATCAAAGGGCACGTAGTGCGGGTCCCTGGCATGCAGAGAGGCCTCGTAGTCCCTCCACGGCACCCACTTCACCTCCGCTACCTCCGACTCCTGGCAGCGGGAGACGAGCATGTGTGTGGGGAGAAGAGTGGTGAGAGTGTGGGGTGCAGCCACGAGGTGGGCATGCATGCAGGCATGCGAGGGAGGGCCAGCACCGGCGGCAGTAGTGAGAGTGTGGGGTGCGAGCACGAGGGGGTGCAATCGACAACATGTCAGGTGGAGGGAAGGAGCAGGTGAAACGGAGGGAACGGGCGGGTGGGCTGTGAGGTTGCATGCTCCAAGCGGAGGGCACGTACTTGCAGTGTGAAGGCGGAGAGGGGGAGCGGCTCTGGTACTGTGATGAGGTAGACGTCACTGAACTCGTTGTTTATGTACGTGCCCCCCTTTAGCACCCTGCATGGCACACGCACAAGTGTAGTTGGGTGGGATGAGGCGGAATGAGGTGGTGAATGAGGTGTGATGAATGAGGCAGTGATGGTGGGATAATCGAGCAGTGCAGGTTGGTAATGCAAGGTGGAATTGGTTTTTGAGAATTGGTTTTTGGTCATTCTCAAAGACCAAAATCGAGCAGTGCAGGTTGGCAATGCAAGGCGGAATAGGCAGCAGCAAGCACGGGGAGCAGCACACATCACATGAGAGCGAGGTGAAACACGGGGAGCACAGAGGGCGAAAGGGCGGGGTGTGGCGCGGACGATTGGAAGGTGTCTTGGAAGAGCCACTGGAAGGCGGACTCTGGCAGTGACAGCCCCAGCTCCTCCTCCATCTCGCGCCTGCCACGAGGGAGGAGAGAGAGAGGGGGATGGGAGCGGGCAATGTGAGTGTTGGGAGGAGTGGCAGCGGCAGGCCGAGCGTGGTGACCACAGGAAGCTGACCAAAGACGACGACCACAGCGACGCGGCACATGGAAACCAAACCAGGCGCGCAACGGAGGGCGGGCATGGGCAGTGGCGCGCACTGGGCGGTGAGGAGGGAGGAGCAGCCGGTGGTGACGTGGCCGGCGCTAGACACGTCCCACATGTCGCCCCACGACTCCTTGTGCGCCGCGCGCCGCTGCAGCAGCAGCTGCGCGCCCTTCTCCGCGAACACCCACGTGTGCACCGCGCGGTGCCACAGCCCACGCCTGTGCACCTCGCCGCTGGGGGGACGAGGGGGAAACGGGGGAAGTGGGGGAACGCGGAGAGGGTAGGAGGCGCGCCGGTTCGGCGAAGTGTGGTGGGAGAAGGATGCGCTAGCAGCGCCGCGACACGGGACGGGAAGGAATGGGGACGTTGATCGCATGCAGGACAGGCAAGCAAGAGGCGGCCGGCGGGCGCGCGGCGCGTGAGGCTCACCGCGGAAGCGCCTCGCCCGTGGGGTGGCCCTTGTCGTCTAGCACGTCCAGCAGCTCCGCCTCCAGCGCCGCCGCCCCCGCCGCCATCGCCGCTGTCGGATCCACCGCGTTCTGCGGCGGCGGAAGGCCCTCCGTCATGGCGCTGGCGGCGCTGACCTGCGCGCGGCGGAATGCGAATGGCGTAACGCGTTTCGGCGAGGCGACGAGAACAGCGTCTGCTCGGGGTAAGACGCGATTGGGCGAGGCGACGAAGGTGGAGGGAGATTGTGGAGGGCGTGGTCTGTATGACGCGAGGTTGGAGAGGAGTCAGAAAGAAAGCGAATGCTCGGAGAGAATGACTCCAGTGGCCAATAAGGTGATTCACCATCCCTCGCGTGGCCACGAATGACTCGAGTGGCCACCAAATTTGGTGATAATGACTCGAGTGGCCACGCCAGGGGATTCTTGCTGGCTTTTTTTTCTTCGGCGCATTACCCTACAGGGGTTTGTAGCCCCGAATATTTGTCCTGGTTATTGCACGATCATTTATATACGAATTTTATGTTCGTGACCCTATATGACCGCGCCTGACCGGACGCGCATATAATGGACCAGTCATGCGCGGCTTTTTATTCTCGCGAGCATCATATACTGTAATGCCCGATCATGTGTATATTTCCGCGATCATAAACTGCAATGCCCGGGCGATTTAATGACCGCGAATGATTGGAATATATATTGCACTGCCTGCGTCAGCAGGCAGTGGAATGGGTCAGCGCGGGCAAGAAAAAAAATAAACCCCATATAGAAGGCATGCCATTAGGGAGCCTCAACCCTAAAATTTTAGGGTTGAGGCTCCCGAATGGCATGCCGTAAGCCATGAGTTTTATTTGTTTTGCCCGAACATACAGTAATGGTCGCGGGCATCATATGTTAATGCTCGGTCATATATTTCCGCGATCATAAACTGCAATGCCCGGGCGCGGGATTTAATGGCCGCGAATGATTGGTCGATTATATGCGCAGTGCCTTTTTTGGCAATGCGAATCCAATCAGGCGTGGTCATATAATGTCAAGAACATAAATTTCGGATAATGAAAATCGCGCAATAATCCGTACAGAAGTTTCGGGGATACAAACCCTTGTAGGGTAATGTGCTGGGTAAAAACAAACCGGAAGGAATCCCCTGGCGTGGCCACTCGAGTCATTATCACCAAATTTGGTGGCCACTCGAGTCATTCGTGGCCACGCGAGGGATGGTGAATCATCTTTTTGGCCACTGGAGTCATTCTCTCGAATGCTCGTGAAAGAAATGGATGGCTGGGCTTTCCTCTGACGTACGCCTTACTAACTCTAAGAGCCAATAGATGTTGGAAATTGGAACTGCTATATTGGAACGCTTAAAAAAACATATAAGACTAATTTAAACGACTAGAGCCGTAGGCTGTATTTGCTCAATATACCAATGTGGGGGGGACTGCACACATTCTACCCGCGAAAGAACACGTTGATGATCATTTCAAGCCGGACCTGTGCAGAACAAGACACGTGGCGCATGAACAAACAGGGGAGCTATAACTGAAGAAACACAAGAACGTTGCACATGAGAGCGACCATGAAGTCCAGAAACACAACTGCTGAGAAAGAAGCAGGTAGTCATGCGACGCAACGCACCAGGTGGTTTTGCACATGACAGCAGCATGGCGCACAGCCCGCTTGGGATCATCCAGACACCCGTCCATTGCTCTTAGCACCTGGATGGGTGGTTGGGGTGAGGAGAGGAGCATGGCAGCACGCGATGATGAGACTAACCCCGTTGAGACACCGCCATTCTTCCTGTTCCACATGGACTCACATTTAGCAGACACTTTCTGCCACTGAGCATCTACTCCCAGCACAGCGAACACACTTCACATCCCACACCCCTTCCCCACCCAAGCACTTTCCCCCACCACTCACTCGCCCCACCTTGGTGCGGTGAGGGAAGACTTGTGTGTGCGGCAGTGCTGCGAGCGCTGTGAGGCTCTGCACTGCCGTCTCCCGCACCTCCTGCCACACCGGGGTTTGATGGGCCGGGGGGTGATTTGGTGGAAATTGAAGATGGGCCGGGGAGCAGATGAAATTGGAGATGGGCAGAGTGCAGGGTGGAACGCGTGGCATGGGGAGGCAGGGAGAGAGACGAGGAGAAGTGGATAGAGGGGACTTGCGCAGCAGGGTTCCAAGGCACAGCAAAGGAAAGCAACGTGCTTGGCATGGGCATTGAACTACATGGGATGGGACACGATTGAATGGGTATGGTAATAGAGCGTGGAGTGGGCAACACACCATGCAGTGGGGATAGGAGGCGAGGGCGAGGAGGGTGGTGACGATGGTGGTGAGGTGCTGCCCACACAGGTCCCTCGCTGATGGGGTGGTGGATGAAGAATGAGGGAAGATGGATGACGAAGGGCGGATGGTTGATGGTGGATGGGGGATGAGGGATGGGGGAACGAGAGCAAGAGCAGTGTGAGTAGGACCGTGGAAAAGGGGCCACATAATTGAGAGAGCTACTGAAAGGCGGAAGAGATATTCTTTCAAGGCACGACATCCACTCTCACTGTATCATGTCCACCTAAACCAGTACGCTCTAGTGGGATGCATGCACATTCCTGCCATGTGCCATGTGCCATGTGGCATGTGCCATGCAGTACCGCCCTGCTGCCCCCAGGCACAAGCGCAGCCCTAATCCCTACACACACCTTCGCCTTGCGAGGTGGCGAAGGAGGCGAGCAGCAGCAGCAGTGAGTGCAGGCGATCAGAGTCGACGCGGTGGGGTGCGAGAGACACGAGTGCTGAGAGCAGCAGCGGCAGCACCTGATGGGTGCAGGGGCGGAGGAAAAGGGGGGGTTGACAGGGAGGGGCGGCAATGCAGTGAGGAGAGGGCAGTGGGGGTATGTGCGGCGGTCATGAAAAGAGGAGGGGCTGGGGAGCAGTGTGTGATTCGGACATGTGACGGGGTTACAGGCACAAGCCGACCTGCGGGGCGGAGAGGAGCAGCGCAGCAGGCGGGGCGTTGGCCACTGTGTGAGCGAATGCTCTCAGACACTGGGCTCTGCGGTGGGGGGAAGGGGTGGGGAGAGGGGAAAAGGATGTACGATTGCAAAGGGAGGAAGTTAAGTGTTGTGAAGGTGACGGGCGAGATGCGAGTGCAGATGGCAGCAGCGATGGGCTAACAGGACCAAGACAGAGCAGCCAGCAGCCAGCAGCCAGCAGCCAGCAGCCAGCAGCCAGCAGCCAGCAGCCAGCAGCCAGCAGCCAGCAGCCAGCAGGGAAGCAGACCTGCTGGCCTGGGAGGTTGGGGTCGTGGGCAAGTGGGGGAGGGAGGAGGCGAGGGCGGGCAGGAAGGCGGAGAGGAAGCGCTGCTGGTAGAGCGGGCGGCACACACAGTGGCACTGGGAGGTCAACCAGTGCGCGCCCTGCCCCATCACCACTCCAAACCCCTCTGCTGCTGCCACCCCCACTGCACTCACTGCTGCCTCGCTCCCCCCTAGCGCATCTCCCACCTTTCCCCCACCCTCCTCTCCGTCCCCCCCTGCACCCCCCTCCACCCTCTCCTCGCTCTCCTCCGCACCCTTCTCTCCCATGGCAGTGTGCAGCAGTGCATGAGCCACCCGTGCCATGCTCGCATGCCCTCTCGCTGCCGCCGCCCACCCAACCCACGCCAGCAGTCGCACCCGCCTCACTCCCTCCTGCCCTTCCCACCCCTGCGCCTGCACCTCCCCCCTTCCATCCGCCCCCACCTCTCCCTCCCCTTTCACCCCAAGCACCTCCCCCAGCACCACCTGCAGTGCCTCATCCACCGACCACACTGCGCCGCTCCCCGGAACCTTCCTCCCCTCCTTGGGCCACTTATTGACGAGCGAGGCCACTGCCACGCTGGCAGCCTCTGCTGAGTCAGCAGACACGAGAGCAGGCGGTGATGTGGCAATGAGGGAGAGGTGGCGCAAGAGGCGTTGCAGCAGAGCCATGTGGTGTACGCCTGCTACACAAGTGGCGGCCTCCTTCCCCTCTTTGTGCTCACCCTGTGGCCGCACCTCTTTCTCCACAGCTGCCAAGGGTGGCATCAGAGTGACGGGGGTGGAGTGAGCGGCGTCCAGAGAGAGCAGCGAGGGGCGCAGGCCCAGCAGCAGTGCGGCTGTGAGGCGACTCAGAGGCTCCTCCGTGCACATGGGAGGGACGGTGGGGGAGGAGGAGGGTGTGAGGAGGTGCAGGTGAGGGGCAAGGGAGGAGAGGAGGGCGAGGTGGTGAGGGTGGGAGCAGCGGTGGGCGGCAGCAGTGAGTGTGGCACATGCTGCTGCCAGCACGGCCGCATCGGTGGCGGGTGGAGGAGTGGGTGACGCGGAGGGGGGGAGGATGGGGGAGGAGGAGGGGCGGTGGGTGAAAGCACGGAATAGAGCCGCGGCGTGGTCGCAGAGAAAGGCAGAATCGGAGGGGCAGGTGGCGTCACAGCTGGTGGCACGGGGTGTGAAAGCAGGGCGAGCACATGGTGCACTTGCATTGGTGGCACACAGGCAGCAGCGATACAGTGGACCTAGCTGCGGAAGCACATTGGAGCAGCACAGGTGAGTGAAACGGCGGGCAGGATGTGACGTGACGAGGCTCATGTGCGAAAGCAACAAGGGAGGGCTTACAGTGGAAGGATGCGCGTGGAGAGGATCTGAAGCACTGCTGACGCCTTTGCTGCAGGGATGTGGACGCAAGGAGGGAGATGGCGGGCAGTGAGAGCCAAAGACATGGATGGGGTGCATGAATGCAAGCAGAGGTACGAGCAGGAAAACACAATTGGTATGAGGAGAGAAGAAGCGGGAAAAAGGATCATCAGCAATCCGAAATTGCTCTTGCGAACTCCAAAAAGCGAACCAGCGCATGCATCACACGCGTGATGGTTTAGCAAGGGGCGGCAGGAGTAGGGCGGAGAGTGGTACGATGGGGTGGGAGGAGCAGGCGCGGAGGGCGAGGCCAGAGAGGGCAGGCAACACCACGTGCCGTGCTGCTGCTACCTCCCCCGCCACCGCTGCTAGCGCCTCCCCACACACCATCACCCGCCCTGCGTCCCCCCCTTCCGTCCCCTCCCTCTCCGCCCCTGCCTCCGCTTCCCCGCCTCTTCTATCCTCCGCCCCGACAAAGTGTCCTCCCATCACCTCCTCCCCTACTACTGCCAGCAGTGGCAAGACCACCTCCCTCACACTCATGCTGTCGTCCTCCTCCTCACTCCCATCACCCTCACCGCTTCCACCACCACTACCCTCCTCTCCTGCTCCCACCCCTTCTTCTTCCACGCCCCTCTCGCCGCCCTCACCCCCCCACCCAGCCTCGGCGTGGGCAAGGCAGGAGAGGGCGCGCACCAGGCAGCGGGCGAGGGGGGGCGGAGGGGGAGTGGGTGGCGAGGAGAATGGCTGTGGGTGCAATGCGCGAGAGGTGGTGGGTGGTAGTGGAGTGGGTAGGAGGGGGGCATGGCGGAGAGTGCTGCTGGTCTTGCTGGGGTGCTGTGGTGCCGTGGAGTGGGCGGTGGAAGAGTGGGCGGTGGAAGAGTGGGCGGTGGTGGTGGCATGGCGTGTGGGGGAGAGAGGCAGGTGGATGAGTGAGTGCGTGAAGAGAGCAGCAACACGAGAGAGGAGGGCGGGGGGAAGGACACCAGGCACTCCAGCCCAGCCACTGGTGGGGAATGGGAAGAGGGGAGGAACAGGAGGGGAAAGAGAGGGGGGAACACAGAGGATGTTATAAAGGAAGAGAAAGAAGAATGCGACGTGAAGTGAGAGGAGAGCGTGAAATGGGTGGAGGGAAGGAGGAAGTGAGAGAGAGGAGGTGAAGGGGAGCAGCGGGAGAGAGTGCAGTGCAGAAGAGGGCAAGCGAAGAGGCAGGCGAGAGAGAGGCAGGGAAAACGGTGATGCAGCAGCAGTGGCAGCACGCACGTGGCAAGCAGACCACGCACCTCCAAGCGCTGCTGCTTCCTCACACCGGACCGTGCTGCGCTGCTCACTCGCCCCACTGCTGCTCCCCTGCCCCCCCCCTGCACCGCGGCTGTCCCCGGCCACAGCAAGGGCGAGCGCCGAGCGGAAGAGCAGCAGCAGTCGCTCCCTCTCCGCCACCACTGTCACATCTGCCCTCTCCCCCCACCCTGCCGCCCCTGCCCTCATGGTCCCTCTCCTCTCCCCCCCTCTCCTCGCCTCCCCTCCTTTCCCTCTCTCCCCCTCATTGCCTCCTTCGCGCTTCCAATCGCCCGCAGCTTGCTCCCACTCCTCTTGTGCTGCGTCCCTTGCAGCTCGGATAAGGCTCACAAGCACATCCAGTGCCATCATGCCACGTGGCTGCAGCAGTTCCCTCTGCACTGCTCTGCACACCTCACTCTCCTCCCCCTCCCCACCCTGCCGCTCCACCCTCCCAGCATCAGAGCCCCCCTCCACCCACCCATGCGCGGAAGGGGGCAGCAGCAGGCGCAGGAGGGGCGGAAGGAGGGCAGCAGAGACAGCAGAGGAGGCGGAGGGGGACACGCGGGCCACAGAGGCCAGCAGCTCACCTGCTGTCTTCACTCTCCCTGCCATCCCTGCCACCCCTGCCATCCCTGCCACCCCTGCCATCCCTGCCACCCCTGCCATCCCTGCCACCCCTGCCATCCCTGCCACCCCTGCCATCCCTGCCACCCCTGCCATCCCTGCCACCCCTGCCATCCCTGCCACCCCTGCCATCCCTGCCACCCCTGCCATCCCTGCCACCCCTGCCATCCCTGCCACCCCTGCCATCCCTGCCATCCCTGCCATCCCTGCCACCCCTGCCATCCCTTCTTCCCTTGCCTCTCCCCTTCTCTCCCCCTCCTCTCGTCCCCCAGGTGCAAGCAGCCCCCCCACATGCAGAGCGCACTCATCATCTAGCATCACGGCCAGCAGGGAGGGGAGCACAGGCTCACCCCCCATGGCGCTTCCCCCCTTGCTGCTGCTGCTGCTGCTGCTGCTGTTGCGGGGTAGAGTGGCACGCACACACGCCACCACACACTGCATCGCCGCTTCTGAGATTTCTGGGTCAATGCCCGATGGTGCAGAAGGCGAGGGCGAGGGCGTGGGAGAGGTGCTGTGTGGTGCTGGGGCGTGCAGTGCGGGGAGGAGGGGTTTGAGGGCGCGCCAGATGGCGGGTGCGTGGGGGGCGATGACGTTGGGACCCCAGGCGGTGGCACAGGCAGTGAGGAAACGCAGGGAGTCGAGCTGGGGAGGGAAGAGGGACGAGTGGGTCGGACACGGTAAAGGAGTGGGGAAGGTGACTGAAAGACAGGTGGCACTCAACCAGGGAGGGTGGGAGGGGGGGAGGAAAGGAGGGAGGGAGGAAGGGAGGAAGGGAAGAGTATCAATACGCTGAATTGAAAACATATGGCAGGCCAATGTGAAAACGAGAGTAAAAGCGGGAGGCAAGAGTCAGGTGAGACAAAAGGAGGACCTTGGCAGTGGCGAAGGAGGAGGAGAGCTTGTCGAGGAGCAGAGGGATGGCCATGGGGGCGAAGAGTGGGGTGCTCTGAAAGGCGCCCTGCATGGGGGCACGCGGAGAGAGCGGGCAGCATATGGTGCGACATGTGGGCGGGAGGGAGAGGTGCATGAGCGCATGCACGGGAATGCATGCACGGCAGAATAGAGACAGGCGAGGAGTGGTGGGTGGTGAGTGGGAGGTGAGAGGGGTGTTGGAACAGCAAGGGCTGAGGGGTTGAAGGGTGCAGCAAGGACTCACCAGCAGCGCCTCAACGAGATCCTCTCGTGTGATTCCCCGCGGGTCGTTGGGCGGCTGCAACGGGGAGGGAGAGAGGCACGATGGCGTGATGGTGTGATGGCGGGAAGAGGAGGTTGAGTGCGGATGGGGCATCGTAAAACATTTGACGTGCGGAGCATAAGATAGAGATGGGATGCCATGTGTGCGGATAAGAGTGGGAGGGAGCAGGCTCACGGGGGAGAAGGAAACCGGAAAGTAGGCAGATACAACGTCAAACAGGTCATCAGCCACGGCGCCCACAGCAGCACCACCGCCCTCCCGGTGCAGCGCTCCCACCAGCAGCGCCACCACGCGCAGCGCTTGCAGCAGGCAGCGCGGGTCCTTCTCCCCGTCCACCACCGCCACCACTCCCCCCGCTAGCCCCGCCCACTGCACTCCCCCTTCACCTCGCTTGCTCGCGCCCTTGTCTGCTTGGGAGGACGACACAGCGAGGTGGCGCTCCAGGAGGGCGCGCAACACTTGCAGAGCGAGCTGGGGGTGGGTGGGGAAGGAAGAGAAGCAGCAGAGACGGACAGGTGGGTGGAGGAGGGAAGAATGGTTGGCTCAAGGGCAGAGACGGACGGATGGGTGGGTGGGTGGGTAGACGAGCAAGTCCAGGCTTGGGGCTTCCAAGCACGGGCAAGACAACAACACACTTCCCTTGCACACATGCCATCCCCTCCCCATGGCCCCCCAAATATCCCTCCCGCTCAACTTCCCCCCACACCAACCACCCGCCTCCTTTCCTTCCTTCACACCCCATCCCCCACCCCTCACCATGCGGTCAGCCTGTGGCAGCGCCTGCACGTGCACCTCCACCACCGCTGCTGCCATGCTCCCCGCATCCCCCTCCGCCACTGCGCCCACCCCCTCCCCCCTCTGCAGCACTGCCAGCGCCCCCGCCAGCGCCCCCCTCACACACGGCCAATCCGCCTGGGGGGCAAGAGGGCGGGTGGGAGGGAGGGGGAGAGATGGGAACGGGGGGTTGTGCGGAATAAAAATTGGATGGAAGACGGAATGGACGGGAGGGGAGGAATGAGCAAGTGCGGTGGGGAACGATCGAGAGGAGAGCGAGAGGAGCGCGAGCGAGTACGTGGCGACAACACAAGGCCATGGGCGCAGTGGTTGGGGAGCGCCAAAGGGTGGGCGGGGAGGGGCGGGGCGGGGTGGGGCGCACCATGCGGAGAGAGAAGTAGCGTGCGAGAGTGGCGAGTGTGGGCGGTGGCAGCGCCACTGAGAGCATGGCCTCCACCAGCGCCGCTAGCAGCGCCGTGCCTGCAGGGAGGACGGGGTGGGGGGGAATAGCAGAGGCGGATGAGGAAGATGAGCAGGGGGGTCACGCAGGGTGGTGCGGGGGAGGGGGAAGGGCAGTGAGCGGGCGGGAAGAGAGGACGGAAGGGAGTGTGCGTGGATGAAGACGAGGCCGCGCAGGCGGGGTGTGCGCCGCGGGGGAGCGCACCTCTGGCTCGGAGCGCGCCGTCGGCGGTGGTGAGGTGCGGCCCCATGCCACCCACCACGTCGCTCAGTGCCACGTGGCCGCCGCGCACCAGCGCCTGCAGCTGCTTCCGCGCCGCCTCCTGCTCCCCGCCGCGCCTATCATCGGCGCACGCCGCCTCCAACAGTGCCCGCCAGTTGCCGCCACCCGTGGACTCCGCCATCCCCCGCCCCTCGCCAATTCTGCGGTCGGCGCTCGTTGCGCGAATTCGTTGCGCCGGGTGCGTGCTAGCGCCAAGAGATGCCCATCAGCAGTCCAACGAGATCGACGGCTCGCGTGCTTTCAATCGATCGCGCAGCCAAAGCGACGAGGCAAGTGGGATCGGGCAGAATTGGCCGCGCGGACGACGGCTAGTGGCGGGAAGGCTGATCGAAATGAGTGGTAGTCATGATTGAACGCGCCCCTCGCGATTTGGAGCATTCTGTGTTACGGAAGAATTCACTGCGGCGAAGGGTTGCGAACCCTGTGGTGCAATTTGAAGCTCCTATAGAGAAACTCGTTTGAAGCACAAAATATATAAATATATCAATAATACCCACCCCTCCCCGCTATCCGTACATTCCCTTTCCCGCATGGTTGGGTGCGGCGTGGTTTCCTTTCTCTTGATTTCGGTATGGTCTGGTTAGGTCAGGTCCGCACGCCGAAATACGGAGGGAGGGAGATCCAGGCAGGTTGGATTCATCTGGCGGTCAGGTACATGTGCCTTCCTCTCGCCTGCCGGAACTGACAGTCAGACCTCAACGCACGTGCATCTGCGGGCTCCGGAAAATCCGGGCAGCTCGTCCGCAGCTTCGCCGCCGCCCTTCGTTGTCCGCACAGCGCAAGATGGACAGCGGCCGGCGCGCGCCGGCAGGGCGAGGCGGCGAGCTGAGCTCATTGGAGGACGATCTGCTGTTCAGCGTGCTGCGGCGCCTCGACTGCCGCTCCGACAAGCTGGCGGCGGCGCTCGTGTGCAAGCGATGGCTCGCCGTCATTCGCGGCGCGTACACTCAGTGCACCATTCTGAACGTCGGCGCGCTTAAAGCCATCCTCGCGTGCTGTCCGTTGATTCAGGATCTCAACTGCTCCAAGTGCATCCGAGTATGACACGTGTCGTTATTCGTAGAACCAATCGCCGAGTGCTTGTTGATCGGTCGCGTGTGCGACGTGCCGATCACGCCCCTCCCGCACCACTAGCGCATCTCTCGCTCGTTCGCCGCCATTTCGCGTGCGCCACTCCATGCCGCACGATGCTCTTATTCTTATTCCCCGCTCCGTGCCTCAGCCCCTATGCTCCTTTCTAGACGTCTTCTAGCCTCGGGCTCCGAGCAGCGTTTTTCGACCCTAACGTGCCGTGCCTGCAGGTCCGCGACGAGCACGTGGTGGCCATCGCAAAGAGGTTCGGGCCGAGCCTGCAGCGGCTGAACCTGGCGAGCAACAAGCGGATCGGGCAGGCGGCTTTGGAGGCCATCGGCGCGCACTGCACGCAGCTGCACGCGCTCTGGCTCACCAACGGCACGTTCGACGACGCTGCTCTCATGCCCATCGCCTCCTGCCACCAACTCAAGGTACGCCTTCCGCCCCTCCGCTCCCGCTTCTCTCCCGCTCCCCCTCGCCCGCCCCTCCTTTCTCGGTCCTTCTCTCTCGCTCCACCTGCCGCTCCTGTCCTCCGCGCCTCTCTCCTCTGAGTGAGCGGTGCATGCATGGCTAGAACCCCTCTTCCACCCCTCCGCTCTCCCCTGCCGCTGTCATAAGCCATTGTGTACCCATGGTGGAATGGAATGTGGCATGATGGCATGCGGCATCACACGTTGGCTTGGCACGACATGCTGGCATGGCGTGTGGCATGATGGCACGGTGTGCGGGGTGGGCAGGTGTTGGGGTTGGGCAACTGCCGCAGCATCACGGACATGGGGGTGTGCTGCATTGCAGCGGGGTGCAAGGCGGTGCAGGAGGTGTCGCTGCGGTGGTGTGTGGGCGTCACTGACCGTGGCGTGGATGTGCTGCTCTCCAACTGCCATGCCATCCACACACTCGACCTCTCCTACACCAAGGCAAGCCACCTCACATCACACTCCTCGCCCGAACCCCACCGAGGCAAGCCACCTCACATCACACTCCTCGCCCGAACCCCACCGAGGCAAGCCACCCCCCACGCCTCGCCCAAACCCCACCGCCCCAAACCTATTGCCCCACACCCCAGCTTCCTCTCTCCTTGCTCCATCATTCCCTCACATCCCCTTTTGCCTGATTCTTTCCACTTCTCTCCCCTTCTCTCCCCTCCCTTCCCTTCACCCTCTGACATCATGTAACATCCCCACACCCCGTCACCCCCCCTGGCGGGCAGGTGACGGAGGCGGCGATGAGGGTGGTGCAGCGGCACCCCAGCTTGACGCATCTGAACCTCTCCAGCTGCCAGTCGCTCACCGACCCCGCCATCGCCACTCTCCGCCACGGATGCACTGCACTGCAGGTGACGCTTGGGGCAGCAGCTTGCAGCTAGAGCACCTAGATGCACGTAATTGAGCTATTCCAATCCGCCTCCGTTTCCTCCCTCCTCAAAGCCCCCTCCCTACCCTCTTTCCCTGGGTGGCAGAGTTTGGACGTATCTGGGTGCGAGCAGGTGACGGACGTTGGCCTGATGGCGCTGACAGCAGGTGCCATCCCGCTCACCGCCCTCACTGCCGCCTTCTGCCCCCAGGCAAGTGCTCGGGAAGGCAGGGTTTTGGAAGAAGGGTCGACAGTGCAAGGGTGGTAAGGGCAAGGCCCCAGTGAATTTGCACGTTATGCATGCAGCATGTGGGCATGCTGGTATGAGCTCGACCGTGGATACTCATACCCATCAGCACATGCATTCAGTGCTCGCTGCCATGTGCTGCTCAGCTTGCACTCCCCCATCCCCTCGCCTCCATCCCACCCCCCTGCGCCCGGCAGGTGAGTGATAACCTGTTGGCGGTGCTGCCGCGCTTCCCCTCGCTGCGTCGTCTGAAGCTGGACCTCGCCCCCATCACTGACTCCGGCCTCTCCGACCTCGCTGGCGCCTCCTCGCCTCCCACCCCCGCTCCCACTCCCCCTCCCGCTGCCACCCCTCCTCCTGCTCCCACCACGACCGTTGCTGCTCAAAATAGCATGCCAGTAGCAGCAGCAGGAAGAGGAGGAGCAGCGGCAGCAGCAGTAGAGGAGGGGGTGTTAGTGAACGAGCAGAGAGCAGTAGCAGGCGGGGCACATGCAGCAGCAGAGGGAGCGAATGACTCAGCAGCAACAGAACACGGCCATGCCACGGCGGTAGGAGGAGCAGCGGACGGGCTGAGCGCTGCAGGGCAGGCAACAGCGCCGGTGGGGGTGGGGGTGGGGAGGTGGGCGGCAGCGGGGTGGTGGCAGCTGGAGGAGGTATCAGTGAGGCGGTGTGAGGCGGTGGGGGACGAGGGCCTCACAGCACTGGCTGCAGCGTGCCCCAACCTGCTCTCCCTCGACATCACCTGCTGCTCCTCTGTCACTGACGCCACCCTGCTCACCCTCTCCGCTCACTGCAGGTTTGTGCACTTGTTGCCGCGCCCTCCATGCATGCATCCACCACCACCCCATACTGGCTGGTGGGCGGTGCAGAGCTAAGCACTGCATGTGAGGCACAAATCCCAGTGCAGGGCACAGTGCCAAGGCCCTTGCTTCTCTGCCCCATGCGTATGTGCATACGTGTCCGTGCTGGCAGGAGGCTGGCGTGTGTGCGCATGGAGGCGTGTCGGGGCGTGTCAGACGCAGGGCTGGTGGGGCTGTTCCAGCACTGCACTGCGCTCTCCACCCTCGACCTCACTGACTGCGGCATCTCCGACACCAGTGCGTGCCATGTCTTGCCATGCTCTGCCATGCCGCGCCACGCCATACATGGCTGGGACGGGAAGGAGGAAGGGCAGTGTGTTGCATGTGGGTGGCAGTGGGGCATTGGGGGCATGTGGGAGGCGGGGGCATGTTCTCTGCTCGTTGTTCCAAAACTCAATGTAGTTTATTCAATGTACTCCACTCATTTTGCTTCCCATGTTGCGTGCTCCCCCATGCCATGACCAGCTGTGCAGGGTCTGCGGCACTGCCCGTTGCTGCAGTCACTGAAGCTGGGCTTCGACATGGATATCACCGACGCTGGCCTCATCTCCCTTGCTGCCTCCTGCTCCTCCCTCACTGAACTCGACCTCTACCGGTAAGCTCCCACCCCATTCCCGGTGATGCCAGATCACTCTATTATCGCATGGCATTCTGTGGCAGCTGTATGCCATGTCATGCCACATACATGCTCTCAGCCCCACACCACCACCACCAGCCACACATAACTTGCAACCCGCTCCTCCCTCCTTCCCACTCCCCTCCCTGTGCCCGGGCAGCTGTGAGGGCGTGTCATGTGCGGGCATAGCCTCGGTGGCGCAGGCGTGCACGGGGCTGAGCACGCTCAACCTCTCCTACTGCCACCGCGTGCGCGACGCTGCCCTCATAGCCATAGCACGCCACTGCCCGCGCCTGCGCAACCTCGAGGTGCGCGACGCGCCTCTCCTCACCAGCGCCGGCCTCCTCGCCATTGCTGGCCTTCTGCGGCCTGCCCCGGCACCTCCGGCAACAAGCGGCATGCAGGGCAGCGGGCAGCAGGAGGCGGGAGGGGCCGGGGGGGCGGGTGTGGGGGTGCCGGGAGCTGCAGGAGGTGGATGTGAAGCAGTGCACGGGCGTGGACGATGCTGGCTTCATTGCCCTCGCCCACGGCTGCCCCGACCTCCAACAGGTCCCTCCTGCTCCCCCCACCCCTGCCCACTCATGCATTCTTCTCACATCTCCTTGTCAACAATCCACCTCATGCGTTCCCCACACTGCCCCTAGTCCCACCTCATCTCTCCCCTTTCCGTCCCCACCTCCCCCAGGCCAATCTGTCGTACACGAGCATATCGGATGCGGGCCTGGGCGCGATGGCGGGCATGGCGTGCATGACCAAGTTCAACCTCGTGCACTGCTCGCGCCTCTCCATGCCTGGGCTCGAGGCTGCACTCACGCGCTGCGTGGGGCTAAAGAAGGTGAAGCTGCTGCAGGCGTGGCGGCCCTTGCTCTCGCCCCAGCTGCTGGCAGACCTGGAGGAGAGTGGCTGTCGCTTCCGATGGATGGACAAGCCGCCCCTCGAAGCACTGCGCGCATAACAAACCTGAGCCCCTAATGGGCCTCCAGCTATTGCGTCTGCAATGTGCACTAGTAATCGTTCTGTGTGCTGTCTTATGCTAGGCTGATGAACGTTGATTAAGTGGCAAGAAGTTTGGGATGCAATACCGTATCACCCCGGATAAAAGCGCAGGCCTATTAAAAGCGCATGCGCTTCTATCTGGAGCAATGCGCTTATGGCCGATCCTCAATTATAAGCGCACCCCCTAAAAAAACCTGATTTATTATAAGCGCGTGTTCAATTCCACAATAAAAATGTTACCGTAGAAAATACTGTAACGGTTTTTGTCAAACAATATGTTCAATATATACCCTGCGTGCTGTAGTTACTGTAGTTATTATTATTAAGAGTTGGTGGTGCACCTTCTTTGTTGCTTTGCTATATGTACCTTGTGTGCTATAGTGAAACCCCTTCTTCTTTCTCGTAACTCTCTTGGCACAACTCCCTCGACACCCCTTGGCCTAGGCTCCTAAGCCTAGGCCCTCCTAAACTCATACGTCCCTATCTTGACATGGTACAGAGCTGGTTCTTTCCCGGAACCTTCTCTTTTTTTTAAGAATCATGGGCCCGCCCGTACTACAGCGCGAAATGCGCTATTTTTTTTTCTCCCCGTTCGCCCGTCGCGCGCGCCCTGCGCGTCCCCCCGAACGTGCCACGTCGGCTGCCTCGCGGACGCCCCGTCGGCTGCCCCGCGGACGCCCTGCCCGTCGCCCGCTGCCCCCCCGTTTCGTCGCCACGCGGCCCCCATTTCGTCGCCACGCGGCCCCCGTTTCGTCGCCCCCGTCACCCCGCAATCCGCCAGCGCGGAGGCCAGCGCCGCGGCCAGCCGCCAGCGCCAGCAGCAGCTACCGCCGCCCCACCCCCCCCCCGCCCTCCCTTCCGCGGCTTCCGTCGTGGGGAGGGGGGAGGGAGGGGGAAGGGGTTGTGGGGGGGGGGGGGTGTGAGGAGCCTGCCACTCCTCCCTCCCTTCCCTCTTCCTCTCTCCCTGCAGCAACTGTTGCTGTAGGGGGGGGGGGGGGAGAGAAGTGCAGAAGGGTGAGGGGGTGGCGGGAGAAGACAGGTGCGGAAGGTGTGAGGTTGACGGGGTTGAGTGACGAGGGGGGTGAGGACTAAGGGGTTCTTAACGAGGGGGGATCGCAATGAGCGTGCGCGCTCATGCCCGCCTAGCCCACCTCCTCTCCTCATCGGGACTTGGGGGTTCTTAACGGGGGGGGATCGCTATGAGCTTTCGCGCTCAAGCCCGCCTAGCCCACCTCCTCTCCCTTCCCTCTCTCACCTCCCCTTTGTAAAAGGAGGTTCGTAAGCGGGTCCGCCGGTCCTGGCCCCCCACCTCCTCTCCTCTCCTCTCCTCTCCTCTCCTCTCCTCTCCTCTCCTCTCCTCTCCTCTTCTCTCCTCTCCTCTCACCTTCCTCACTTCTCTGCCTTCTTCCACAGCGCTTGGTTTGCTCGTTCAGGGGGTGCTGGCTGCACCAGTTTCTACTGCACGCAGGCTAAGGGGGTGTGTCAAACAATATGTTCAATATATACCCTGCGTGCTGTAGTTACTGTAGTTATTATTATTAAGAGTTGGTGGTGCACCTTCTTTGTTGCTTTGCTATATGTACCTTGTGTGCTATAGTGAAACCCCTTCTTCTTTCTCGTAACTCTCTTGGCACAACTCCCTCGACACCCCTTGGCCTAGGCTCCTAAGCCTAGGCCCTCCTAAACTCATACGTCCCTATCTTGACAGTTTTCCCTTTAGCAGGTGGATGTGTTGCAAATTCGGTTTTCCTCGCATTCGAACCCTGCACAGAATTCGAGTCCAGTCAGCATGAGCTGTCAGGGGCGCCATGTCAGTCACATCGACTGTATCTGCCAGCCGCGCGAGAATTTCACTCACGACCCCCTGTAACTTCGACTCAATTGAAAAGCCAGCACGAGATCTACAGTTTGGTGTTCAAATATTATATCTATACCGTAATCACCCAGATAAAACACCCACCCCGAATTGTACACCCCCGGGTAGCTTGTGCGGGGGGGGTGTTATATTTGACCCCGTTGGTACTATACCCCCCCTTTTGGGGTGATCCTATATAAGACCCGGGGGGTGGGTGTTATGTGCGGCAAAAGTGCAATTTTAGGTCACATTTCACACAGTTAGAGGTACAATCTACCATTGATGAGCAGCACACAGCAAGTAGACCATAGAAGCACGCTTCACTAACATAACCTACTACGGTACTTCTGTTTCTTCTCAATAGTGCTTCTCCTACTGCTGCCTACTGCTCTTCCTCATCCTCCCCTGCATGCCACTCCTCACATTCTTCACCGTCATAGCCCACTGGAAGTTGCCATGTGGCAGAGTCCAGTGGGCGGTCACGTTATCCTCGTATACTCGGTTTTGCGGCACTGTTTAACAAACAAGAAGTGAAGTCACACACCACATTTTGAAACACATCGATTCTGCTTTAAAAAAGTATGTACTATATAATAAGACCCGGGTATTATGTAGGACTTTCCGTTGAGGAGACCCCCCCCATTTTTTCCCGGTATTTATCATAATACCCCCGGGTGTTTTATCCGGGTGATTACGGTACTTGTCATTTTATAAGCGCATGCGCTTATACAAACGACTCAATTAGAAGCGCACCCCCCCAATAAACACCGATTTATTATAAGCGCACCTGCGCTTTTATCCGGGGTAATACGGGTAATGTTGCCAAAGGCAGTCCATAGTGTGACACTCAATGTACGGTACGTAGCTAAAAGACATACGGAACAAACCTAAGCCAGTTCACAACAAAATACCGTCACACCCCGGATATGCCCCCATGGGGGGCAATAATAAAACATGTTTTTTTAGGGGGGTGTGTCGAGATAGTAGGTATGCTGAGGAGCCATAGCTAGGGTTTACCTAGCTAGGCAAGAGAGAAATGAGCAAAAGGAGAGGGTTTGCACTAGCAACAATGGTGGTACAAATAGCTAACCCTAGAAGGGTTGTACTCGCTATAGAGCACCCCACTGCAGGCTAGAGCATAATATTCTGACACACCCCCATAGTCAAAGTGGGGTGTAATCAGCAGAGCAAGCAAAGCAGTACAAGCTCAGGGTGGATCACGATGTCACCACACATTCTGAGCACAAGCAAGAAGCAATAGTTTAAGGTTCACAATTATGAGCAAAGCTAGAGGCAGTCACAGGGGGGCAAGTGAGGAGGAGGAGGGCTGGCGAGAGGAGTGTAGATAGGAGGCGACGACTGAAGCTGCAGACACACGGGCAACAGACGGCTCTGGTGCGACAACGTGGCTACCGGGAATGAGTGCCCCGGAGTACAGGAGTAACAGGCTCCGCGGCTAATATGCGCGGCAGGAGCAACGGACCCACAGGCGACGGCGCAACCGGCTCTCTGAGCTACCGGGAATGAGTGCCCCGGAGTACAGGCGCTGCGTACAACACGACGGCAACCTCCGCTCAACCTCCCCCTGCCAGTCCCACACCCCTCGACACACACCCTCTGCTTCAAACCCTAGCTAGCTCCACTCCCACGGTACCCCCCTTAAACCCCAAACCCTAGGCTCCCACACACCACCCCCCTCAGCGGCAGCTGTAGCAGAGGGAGACTAGGGAGGAGGAGGAGCAGGGGGAGGAACTCACAACCGACACCCCCATAGTCGCCACCCCCACACTCCTCACCCCCAAACCCTAAAACGGGCGGAACGGGGGAAGGAGCGCGGGGGACGGCGAGGGGGACGGCGCGCGGCCCCCAGGACGCCACCACGGGGCAGCGAGGGGCCGCGCGCGGCTCCTTAGGGCGCCGCGCGGGGGCAGCGGGGGGTCGCGCGCGGCTCCCCAGGGCGGCGCGACGGGAAATCGGGGGCCGCGCGCGGCTCCCCAGGGCGTCGCGGCCGTCGACGGGGCAGCGGGGGGTCGCGCGCGGCTCCCCAGGGCGGCGCGACGGCGAATCGGGGCAGCGGGGGGCCGAGTGCGGCTCCCCAGGGCGGCGCGACGGGAAATCGGGGCCGCGGGGGGTCGCGCGCGGCTCCTTAGGACGTCGCAACGAAAGGGGCGGGGGCGCGCGGGGTCCCCCACGGTAGGAAACCGCCGCGCGCCTCGGGGCGCACGGCGGGGAGAAAACCGCCGCACGCCCCGAGCGCGCGGCGGGATGAAAAATCCGTCGCACGCCACGGGGCGTGCGACACACACTGTAGTAGGAGCAGCGGAAGACTAAGGTGGTGGGGCCCACCCACAGGATCGACCCAACAGGATCGTCCTGCTCTGATAGCATGTCGAGATAGTAGGTATGCTGAGGAGCCATAGCTAGGGTTTACCTAGCTAGGCAAGAGAGAAATGAGCAAAGGAGGGTTTGCACTAGCAACAATGGTGGTACAAATAGCTAACCCTAGAAGGGTTGTACTCGCTATAGAGCACCCCACTGCAGGCTAGAGCATAATATTCTGACAGGGTGGGCTTATAATCGAGGATTTTTATAAGCGCCGGCGCTTATACAATGACATATATGAACTTTAGTTGTTTTCACTCCAAAGTGTTCATCTTGTCATTGCGATTTCAATCGCAGCCCCGAGACCCGCCCGCCCTGCCCTGCGCTGCCCGTCGCTCGGCTCTGCAGCCCCGCGCGCCGCCCGCTGTGCCCTGCGCCGCCCGTCGCGCTGCCCGCCCGCCCGCCGCGCTGCCCGCTTGCGGAGTCGCCCGCCTGTCGCGCTGCCCGCCTGCAGCGCCGCCTGCCTGCCGCGCTGCCCGTCCAGAGAGCCGCCTGTCCGCCGCGCTGCCCGCTTGCAGCGCCGCCTGCTGCTCCCTACCCGTGCGCAATTGCCCACCCTTGCTGCGGTAGCTTGCGCTGCTCTGTCATACTGTCGCTATGGCTTCCATCCGCGTGCTGTCGTTCGATGCTGAGGGCCGCCCTGTGCAGTTCACCACTTGGCTAGATGACCTGCAGCTGTTCCTCCTGAGCGATAGCAAGGAGCATGTGTCGCTCTATGATTA